TCCATTTTCATCATTTCCAAATAATCAGTTTCCATACTGCCAGTATACATGTTTTGTATACTTCTTTATTTTGCTGACAGTTTTATTCACAGGCTTTCTGCAAAAATGCCACACACTTCAAATTCATGCCAACTGATATTGTTGCATCCAGTAGATGTCCTACTAGAGCAAATGAAGCTTCAAGAAGCTTTGCGCTGGAGTGAACCAACTGGATAAAAGGCTTCATTGCTTCATGAAGCTTCATCTGCCCATCACTACTGACAATTGACAGGCTCACGCAAAGCAAAAGAGTACTGGACGGCTAACATTGCCCGTGAAAATGTTCATGCTACCAGAGGTTTGCGAACATCCTACATTAGCATTTGGCTAACGCTAGATAAAGTATCCCATCTGGAACAGAAAACACAAATTTCGACAACTGTGTTAACAGCGAAGCACCTGCGCGCTGCCTACATACAGAACACAACACATGAAATATTTACTGTGATTTTCTACAATTTTCTAATGCGACTCACCTAAGTAGCAGAACTGCTATCGTCCATCTTGAATCTCCACTACAACCAAACTTCCAGAACCACCACCAGAGACTAACTTGAAGAACCCAGCTACCACCTGATTGGACAATTTGACTCTGCTCTGTGATTGGACTGCCAATGTCCAATCAGATTCATGTATGATTCACATTAAACCTGTGCAGTTTACTACTTTCTGCCTGTACACAGATGTTCACAAATGCTTGTTTCCAGTGTCTTTGTGTAACATAATTTGTTTACAGATTTTATTCACACGTTCAAAAAAATCTTTCCTACACATGCTCACAAAAATTGTGACCATGTACATACATTGCTATTTGTACCATGAAATTGCCATTCATTTGATTAGCAGTTACTAATGGGTCACACTTGTTAAGATTGGTGTAGTGCTGTGTGCCACCACTAAAGGGCAGCCTTACTGTGCACTGAGGAGAAGGAACAGGAAAAAGAAAAGTTACAAGACATGTTTTAGGCTTTTATGCAAAACTGTGGCTTATTCCTACCATTTTGTTTTATAAAACCTAAAAGCATTAATATTTAGTATGAATAAAGAGGGGTTTCAAATAAATACCATACAGAGATAAATGTAAGAATTTACAGTTTTCAGCTGCTTTGGCAAGTCTAGCAACGCAGCTTATCACACATTGTCAAATGTAGTTTATATCTAAGGAATCAGAACCGAGCGATGTATCCGTCCCATTATTTTTACTTAACATAGGATAGTACTGAATGTTAGGAGCAGTTTACGTTTCCTGACAAACACACAAAAAATACTATTTAAAAGTTGTTTATTCTGCAAGTCGTCTTACAGCAAACCATGCACCTGCATCAATCCAATCCACTACTGTCTGCATTCTCATGGCTATTTTGCATTTATTATTTTTTCTGCTCCACCACAGGTTGATTTTTCAACTAATGATGAACACAGCAAAAGACTGAACTGCAGAAAAATGGGCAGTAATTGAAGAGGTGCAGAAATTTTCAACTTCTACACAGTGACCTTAAGCTTCTGTCTTCCTGCTCGAAACCTTCTGAAAGATAGGATCAGATGCTCACTGTAGCTGTAACCCATCATCATGTGTCTCACCTCCTTCCCAATGCCCTTGCCTCTGTAACTGAGCTCTGTAGAAAACAAGGGAAATATAGTGTTCAGATATAAAGAGATATACACAGGAAATGACTGAGATATACAAACCACAACACAAGCTGACTGTAGATATTTGCTCAGCCTTTGATTTTGAATTGCTTTTAAGATAAGTACACTGGGCATCGCCTGCTATCATGATCTCCAGCTCAGCCAAGGAGAGGTCTGTTGGGTCTGTTGACATCTCCCACCATGAACTGCTCCTCTTCTATACTGGGATCTGCCCATCGCTGCTTATCCAAGATGATGAATGTGCATTCTGGTAAAAAAAAACAAAAAAAACAAATTAAACTGCTTTTCTTTATGTAAAAGGTGAATGACTTTACTACTGCATGACCTCAGAAAAAAATGTCTTATTTTCATATCATGTCCAATGGTTACCAGTTATTTATAAACACTTTAACCTAACAAATCTGATGGATGATGGTACGAATGTCTGGAAGGAATAATTTGGAAGCCATAAGGACAGAACTCGAAAGCAGTGCTGACCTTATAAAGCAAATGTCACTGAATCATATTTCACTTTATCCTATCATAAGTTGTATTAAATAAGCTTCTGTTATTTGGACAACGTGTTAGCTTATTTATGTAGGCAGTGTAAAAACTCTGAATGTTAAACACTTGTTACTCTAACTTAGAATAAGTTAACAAAAGTAAAATACGTTCTCTCAGATTTATCTTTCCAGCCACTGCTGTATGATCGGTTCAACCAAAGATTTGCATGTTCTGTGTGTACATTTACTGCAGAAGAAGTCTTATTGTCAGTCATCTTCCTTCCAGTTCCCCTGCATGTCGTACTCCTGTTCCAGGGTGAGTGGCTCTGAGTCGGTCAGATGCTGCAGCTCATGATGCTTCATCCATTCATGATACCTGAAGAGTGTAAACAGGTGGATAAGAGACAGTGACTGCAGGTTTCTACAGCTTTAACTGAATCATGTATCCAGAGGCCAAAGGACTGGAGCTGGTTCTGCTGTGCCAGTTAAAGAGACTTCAAACTGTCAAAGGATCAAAAGCTTGTATTGACAGCTGGGTCAGATGTGTCATCTGTCCAAGTTATTTCTTCACCTTGTGTGACAAATGAGACTGTATGATATGATCAAAAAGCTCCAGAAAAACTACTAAATGGAACTTGTGATGAGATTGTTTTCTCAACATTATTATTAGTTGCAGACCTATTTAGGAGTTAAAATAAAACCCATCTGCCATGTTTAAACATTGGTAGTAAAGAAATGACATTCAAACACTCATCACTAAAGATATCAGCAGAGGAAAATAAGAGACAAAAGTGACAGCCTTCGTGTGTGTAACAACACTGATCAGGTGTTGATGTTTAACGTTACCTGGGCAAGTAGTTTGCATTGTAAGGAAACAACACAACTTTGTGTCCCTCCAGTAGAGTGTTCTCGTTTATCTTCATGATTCCAAACCAGACACAAGTAGCAATAGGACCGATTATAACAATAAACTAAATTCAACCCATTAATATATTATAACAGCTGGATACCGATCCACAAGATGGAGACCATTCTTCCCATGGATGTATTAAGGGGAAAAGGTAGGAGATTTTTCAATGTCTGTATTGTGAGAAAGTTTTTTCATAACGTTAATAAATTAATTTATTCTATTTATTTTCCCCACTGAATGTTGGTCAGCTGGCGCACATGGCAAATTTGTTTTTCTTCCAGGGTTGCTTCCACATTCTGGGAACCACTGCACGTGCGCACTATGGGGTGGTAGGGGACATTGGCCGAACTTTCTCAGGCCCCAGTGTTGAAATACTGTATCTGCCGTGCACACACTGACAAAGTAAAAATCACACGCAATTACAAACACACCTTTCGTCTGGACATGCTTTTATTAGCAGATGGAAATCGCCTCAAGGCGTTTTACCAATGGTGAACACATTTATTAGCACTTTTATTCTATTATTTCAGACTCTGTGTGTATGCACGTGCACGTGTGTCTGTGGATCTGTTCATGTTTGGTTGCTTAAATAGGTCTGCTCAATCCGTGCCACAGCTTCACCGGCTTCTGTGGAGTGTTGACCATGTCCATCCAGTGCTGCAGCTGAGGGCCTCTGGTGTACATGAAGGGCCCTAACACCAGCACTCCCAGTAGGACTGGAGGCTCTGGGAGAAAGATATATGAATATCACTGTGTCAGTGTTTCGGATCTTATCTGCAGCAATATTAAGGGGGCAGCATTTTCAGGGCAATTCTTCAACAATCAGCATCCACACACATTTTCTTCAGGAAATGCATTTGTCTAGTTTATATTTGAAGTTGAAAATGACCTTTGAATATTTTTTTCTGGTCTGGTGTTTCACAAAATAATTAGTATGTTTTTGCCAGATGTCTTATCTTTGATGCTCAGTAACCCAACAGAGCTGAATATGCAGATGTTTTATACTGAAGGTAAGCAAATTTGAGAATAATTAATCAACTGCATAATTACAGCTATACTGGCTAAATTACTGAATAAGTGTAGCTGCCCTTTAGTGTTTGTAGGAGAAAAATACAAAAGTTTACTCTTATTCTCACAATGAATATCTAAACAAGTAAAATACCAATCCAAAAGGTCTGATTGGAATCAGAACTAATTTGGATGAGTAGATGGTTTTATCAAAGAGGATGACAGACTAGTCTGTGTTTCACATGTCTTTATTGAGACTGTGAGGTCTCAGTATGACCTCTACACCAATTCTGGGTACAACATTGTGTTTGCAGCTTTTAAAATGTTGATATTGATTTTCTCTGATACAGTCATAAATTGGACGTCTTAGGGCTTGTAAGTCTTATTTGAATGAAACAAGCAAAAGCTGTCATCTTGGGCTCCAGGAAGTTGTGATAGATCTGTAATCTATAATGAAAAAGAACTACTGTTGAATTCACAGCACTATTAACGCTAATGCGAAACAACCAAACACTACAACGAACTCTGAGGCATAGAAGGGATATAACATGCTTTACAAAACAGGAGATCATCACAAATTAATTATGGAACTAGACAAGTGAAAGTAGCTCTATAAATAACTTTAAATTTATCTACTGTAGTAATAGTAATGATAATATTAATCAGCTATGTGGTGTGTCTGCCTTCTGTACACTTTTTGGTGGACAAGATACAACAGAAGCAAAGGGAGAATGGGAACCACACAGCAGACTGTGCTTCTCATTCAATCTGTTGACTGATCATCTCTGGGTTTTAAAAGCTTTCAAGTATTATTATTATGCATGTACTTATACAGCCCAATATCACAATCACATATTTGCGTCAAGGGGCTTTACAGTGTGTCCAGCAGACAACACCCATTTATACCATAGACCTTCGATATGGATAAGGAAGTGTAAATAGTACTTTATGCCAGGACTGAATATAATTTACTACTGCAGACAGAGGTTACTAGTTTTTGTAAACCACTTCATAATTGCTGATATTAATGAGCTTATTATGTTTGAGTGTAGGTGCAAATGTCAGTTCATGTGCATTTATTTATGTATATTTAAAGTATATGCACAGACCTGTGTGTGTGGGTCAGAGCCTGATCAGATGTTGTATAGCAGTGGTGAGGTCTCCTCCTGTGCTGATGAGGGCCTGAAGGTTTGCCTGTCTGTCTCTGAAGCCCATTGAGCTCAGCTGCTCCAGCTCCTCCTGGAACTCAGCCTCCTTACAATGGACCTGACAGGATAGTTATTTAAAGGCTGACTTATCACATTAACATGATCAAAAAGAATTAGTATATGCCTCTGGGAGTGAAAACGTGCCATACAACAAAACTTGTCTGTCCTTCACTCTATTTAAATTAATCAGGAAAACATTACACAAACTGAAGAATAAACTTTCCAAGATTCATGGATCATGCAGTCTGTTTAGCTAGACTGAAACTTGTCATGAAATGTGTCCACAACATAGTTATTCTAAAGGAAATAACATACTGTTCATTACTGCGACCACACTGAACAAATGCGCATTGGAACTACAAGTGGGAACACTGCTGTATCACTTCTGTGTGACCACACTGAACAAATGCACACTGTGGGAACACTGCTGTATCACTTCTGTGACCATTTTTAGAGAGTACCTGAAAACTACATTTCTGAAGGAGGAAAAGCAGTTGCACTGTCCTCTATAGGTATAAATCTCTTGAACCTCTGACCACATCAAATATCACAGCTGGATGTGGCCAGATGTGATGTAGCATAGTATTATTAAGGTTATTTAAAAAAAGACAATGAGGTACCCCATTATTGGTGTAAGCCAGCGCCTGTAGCATCTGTTGCACAAACTGCTGCTGCTGTTCTGTCACCGTGGCAACCTCAGGATTATTTCCTAATTGGCTGTTCAGGACAGACTCAGAGGCTTCAGTGTTTACAAGTCCAGTCCTGCAAGAAGGTAGGCCATTTTACTTATAAAATGTTTTGTAATATATTTAAACCACAAAAAAATGAATGAGAATAGATGTCTTCAGGTTAAGGTGTACTGTTTGTTTTAACTCACGTGGGTATGAGGGCGGGAGCCTCTGCAGCCAGAGTCTGTAGACCCTGCTGGATCTGTAGCACAGCCTCCATGGCTCTGGGGTTCAACAGAGCTGACAGCAGCTCAGGACTCTGCATCTACACATCAGTGACAAGTAATAATGAAAAAAAAAAGATAAATAACATGAGCCACAAAGTTTGAGCAGAGAATTCACTTTAGCACATACCATTTCTACATGTGTACATGAAGAACAGACTGATATAACAAGATCACCATCCCTAGAGCCATGTTGAATGTATTCAAAACCAGACTTTTTCCTTCTACCATAATATGTGTTCTAGTTGCAAGACAGGAGAGTCATAAATAAGTAGTAGTGAGGAAAAGCAGACCTGTTGCAGGAAGAGAGGAAGCTGCTGCCTCATCTGCTGCAGCAGCTGAGGATTCCCTGAGAACAAAGGATGACTTAGCAGAATCTGAAAGAGGCAGAAATAAGCACAGTATAGGCCTCCAGTATTTTCAGTATTTCTTAGGGAGAGATTATGGTAATACGGTCACTTTATGTGGGGGAGTAGCCTGGTTCCTCCGAATAGCAAATTACATGCTTTTACAGATGGTGATTAAAAAACCTACACGATTGAGGATATAGCTCAGCAGTAGTCTGCTAAAAATAAGTTATCTGATTGCCTGCCATGTGTTCCCTGTTAATGTGCCTGTATACTGTACACCCGTAGATTGTATATGCGTCACCTGTGCAGCTAGGTCGGGGTTTTGGCTGAGGCAATTCAGAAGACTGCTGACATATGGCCCAGACAGCAGGCTCTCCATCAGACCTGGACTGGCCATGATCTCCTCTAGCAGTGACTGCATGCCTGATGCAAGAGGTCGCAGATACAAAATGAAGAGAAGCAAGTAAAAGGAACTGATGATAAAAAGTAAGTAATAAGACACGGCAAAAACACATTTAGAATTATCAGCATACCTAAAACATAACATGACCAACAAAGTTTGCATGACTGTAGGGGTATCAAGTCACCAAACTTATGTTTGTCTTGTGACAGATCAGTTTAGTTGTCTGATGAGGGCATTACTTGTTTGGCCATTTAGTGTGCTATGTAACTATGTATTTGTAATACTGTGCCTGCAGTAACAGAGACTGGATCAGCCCTGGGTGTGGCAGTCAGTTCTCTGAGAGGATCAGTGGAATGACTGGAGACGGGAAATGTCTGGTCTCCTCCATCAGTTGTCTGGTGATTCCCAGATGTTGTAGACACCACTGGGGGTACTCCTATGTGGATCTAAAAAGGAGAGCAGAATTAAGTAAGCAAGCTTAGTTTGACCAAATCTAAACAGATAAGAATGGGAATTGTTACCTTTGAAGCTATACCTGTGATAGTTTGAGGCTACGTCCATGTATTTTTGGATCAGTCTTCTGAAGGCCATCAGAGTCTTTAGTGATGGCTTCAGAGTTGCTCTGCTCTGGCTGCAAATTGTCTAATGCTCTGTCTTCATTTTTGATCACTTCCTCTATCATGTCAGGGTTCTTGACAAGCTCCAGCACCTGGAAACAGAAGTCAGACCAGGAAGATGTTGAACATATGAGAGAAATGAGTCAAGGAGGGAACAACAATGTTCAAGTTGTAGTAAAATGAAATGTCACACACTTAAAGCATATTTAAAAATAGTTTAGATATAAGTAGTTGCTTGGTACAGTGGTGTATTTTTGCATGTGCATGCAACGCAAACATACCTTTCTATCCTAACTACACGCACCTGTGCGATGACATCTGTGTTGTTAAACATGTCTCTCATCTCTGGGTTTGTCTCTAGGAGCTTCTGGATTTGGGGATTAGACAAAATGAGCTGTCTGGTTACTTGGGGGTTGGAGGTGGAGAGGGTGCTCTGCACGAAGGGGCTACCCAGAACACAACGCATCATCTCTGGGTCAGCCAGCAGCTGCCTCTCCATCTGACGCTGGAGTGCATGAAAGAAGTCAGACTGGCTGTTTGTTAGCCCGAGACTGTCCAGACCTTCCACTATTGTAACAAGATCAGATCAAAAGAACAGGAGTATGTAAATGCACTGCAGAGCTCAGTAGGTTCTGATCACTCCACAGTAGAAGTGCAGTAGATAAAGAGAACAGGAAACATGAAGACCAGAAAGTACTATAACTGGAGCACATATGAAATGTTAATGTGAGAAAATAACAGGGGAGTCTCTGCTGTTCTTACCCAGGCAGAGGGGAGAGGTGGGTGAGGGTGTGAGGTTATCATGGTTGGAGCCCAGAGCATCTGTGAGTTCTGATTGGACTCTTACTGAAGAATCGAAGGTGGGTGCAGCAGGTGAATGCTGAGGCCTGAGAAGGAAGGGCTGAATATGAACCTGGAGTTCCAGTTCAGTGGTAAAAAAAAAAAAAAAACTGCATGCATTTAGGCCTATATAGAGCTGGTGGCACAAGTCCAATTTTATACACAATTTTGCTAATGTACACAGTGTTTATCCAAAATACTTTTACAAATGCTAAATCAAACATTGATCTGAAGGTAGAAGTCGGAGCAAAACCGATCAGTTCCAACTAATGTAAGAGAGCTGATGCAGCAATCTTATGTCTGCATACAGTTTTGATGTCTGTGTGTATCCATGGTATTCATTTATAATTACTGTATGTAAAAATACCAGTATTGTGGCTAAATTAAAATGTTAGAGAAAATGAGTACACACCCACACTTAAATCAACAACCTCAGATTTCATTTATCATTATGAATTAAAAGGTTGTCCCTGTGATTGGTAATGTTGCATGAGTGGTCAGTTTACAAACAGGTTGAACTGTTCTAGGCACAAACCTATATTTAAAAAGGCAGTTTACTCCTTTAAACTCACAATTTTTCTAAGCACAACCTTTTATTTATTTATTTATTTATTTGCAGTAGGTAGCCTAATATACATATCTGCAGCTAAACGCGTGTTGTATCTGTGAGGCTTCAGTGTCTGGTGATCATATAATGTGTGTGCACCTTCGGATCATGCAGAGGCTGACCGACTTATCCTGTCCTTTAAGGTGACACAGGAGCTCTGAGTCTCTGAGGATCCTGCCGGAGTGAATCAGCACCAGCTGCTCTGCTGAGGCTGCCATGCGCTCTGATAAACCCCATTTCAGCTGCAGCAATAAACACAAACCAGCACTTTGCGAGCCAAAAAAAAACCTGTAGTGATAATAGCCTAACTTGGACTAACGTGCACATACTATACAATATACACAATCTTTCAAAGTTACGATTTACCTACTGCATTCCAGGTTATCAGATTAAGCATTTGAAAACACAAAGTAGCAGTTCTGAGCCAGCTGTGATCTGACCTGTCTGACAGTGCAGTCTCCTCTTACGGCGAAGTCTTTGCTCTCCGTGACACTTTTGACTGCAACATGGATCGTTTCAGACTTGTGACATTCACCCTGTGCTTTCGGTTCATCTTTGACCGTACCTGACATCTCGGTTCTCTCCGGGCTGACGATGAAGATGAGTGGACCTGGGATAGAGCGCGTCCCGTGACGAAGGTGCTGCAGTCCAGATGACTCGGCAGAAAGCTGTGAACGCGTGCCAGCCCTGACCCGACTGCGCAGAGGAGGTGTAGCACGCAAGTGCCACATCTCTGCCAGATGAAAGATATTTTTCACAGCCTGAAGTAGATAAATGATCCCGATTTCTCCGATGTGTCCGCATTACGCACCCGGCACTGTTACAATTGGATTTTGCATTTCAGACAATTTTTTTTATCTTGATGTTCAGGAGAACATACACAAAACTAATTTTGTTCACTGAAAAAGTATTTTATTTACTTAACAGTGAGAAAACATACATTTCACACCTGTCATTTTAGCACTCCCCCCCAAAAAAATCAGTCCAATAGCCTCGACAATACTAGAGATGCAGTGGCACAGTGTGGCAAACAACCAATTCAACACAAGCTTAAACTTGGTTAATAGGTTTTATAAGCTTCTATAATGCTTTGTTCAGATGCATAATATACCCTTGAGTGCATTGTGTGTATGTGTGTGTGTGTGTGGGGTGGGGTACTGGCATGACTCATATTTGTAAGTGCTGAATCCTGTGGAAATTGCTTTTCTCTTGGAGATCATATCCTGGTCCATCATGTAAATCATTCAATTTTATGGTGATGATTTGATTTAAGGTTAAGGGCAGTGGTGGAAGTACTTAGACTGATTACTTAAGTAAAAGTAGCAATATCACAGTGGAAAAGTACTCTGATACAATTCCTGCATTCAAAATGTTACTCTAGTACAAAAGCATTAGCATCAAAATGCACTTAAAGAACTAAAAGTACTCATTTAACATTAATGTATATCATATTATTGAATTACAATTACTACATTATTATGTACATCACATTAATGTTGCAGCTGGTAAATGGGTAGGCAATTAGTGGTTAAGGTTAAGGTTAGGGCAAGTCTCCAGGAAACGAACACAAGTCAGTGTAATGTCTCCACAAAGAAGGAAGACAAAGCATCTGTGTGTGTGTGTGTGTGTGTGTGTGCAATTAGAGGGCATGCATTATACTGTATGCTGATATGGTAGCTGAGCTAAAAAAAACTAAACTAAATTGTAATAGTAAGGAAAGAGATCCATGATTATGATCAGTAGTGTATTACTTCTTTTGTTCATTTATTTATTTCATTTCAGTATTCAGGTACTTTTGGAAAATTCATAGTTCCATCTCCGAGCTTTTCTTTCCTTTCTTGTTTCCCTGCAGACCAGAAAAGCCCAGAGAGCACACAGTTATTTATGAGTATGACAAAGTATTTTATTGACCAAATTCAAGTATGACTCTTATTCTTTATACTTCTGTGCTGTGACCACTCCCACTGACTTTTCTTACTTCACCTGAACCACTGGCTGCTCTGTTTATATAAAGAGGGAAAGAAGGAACATGCATGCAACTCGTACACAAACAATACACACAACAGATCAGAATCACAGCTTGTCGCAGAGAAAGCATTTTGTAAGCATCTCATCTTTGTAAACTTCAACTCTGACAAGAGTGACTTAATACTCCTAGTCTCCTTTGTTATGGTGACATTTCTACACACTAGTCAGGGGCGGCCATGCAGATGAGAAAGTGAGTGATTATTTGAGCTCTCACCTGATGTTTTGGCTGTTCTGACTGCAGACCTTTGACTTTAGATCTTTCTTGTTCAAGAGCAGCATGTAATAATGTTACCTAAAAAAAACCAGACATTATGTGAATGCACATGTACAAATATGTCACCTGCCCATGTTCCTCTCTCATTATCTACATCTCACTATAATATACCTGTGATGACAGTTCTTCTTTGATATGCAGTAGCTCTTCTACCTGTAGAAGGATTTCTGCTTTATCTTTCACTGAAGGAGAAAGTTCAAACACACTATAAATCAGACAGATCCTATTATGTCTTCGTTAAGAAAGGAAAGGAAAGGACAGAGGGCTATCAAATGTGATTATAGCAATGTTCAACTCACTTTCTCCCTGTTGAAGCATCTTAAGCAGCTGGGAATTTCTTGCTTTTACCTCTCTGTATTTCATCTGCAGAGTTGAGAAAGCAAAAAGAAAAAACTTAAAAGCATTTGCTACAAGAGGAAGGTGTGGAGAAGTGGACTGTGCTGCTGGTGTGGTTTAACAAGTTTCTTTAGACATACTGATACATATTTTCCACTCTGGAAAGGTTTTTGCTGTTAGTGAAATTATACATGATTTGGGTAATTGTTTATGACTGCTGACCTCCCACTGAGAGATGGTCTTCTTTAGCTGATCAATCTCCTGGTCTTTCTTCTCCAGTTCATACTTCAGCTGCTCTGCTCGGGGGTCCTAACAAGAAAGACGGGGGAGAAAAGCAGGGCTGGAGCCAATTATTCGAATATTTGGGATATCCGTTCACTAGGTAATCAGTTTTCAATTTTAGTATTTCAATATTCGAGACAGCAGGAAATTTTAATGCAGTCTCAGTGTGATGACAATGAGGAAAGAACATGACGACGTCATCTTGGTCACATCTACTACTACTACTACTACTACTACACACATCTCTGAAAAGGTTGGAGGATCTCTCCAACATTATAAATCCTAGAGTGATGAAGCAGCAATGTTACATATGCCTCATGTCTGAAAAGGACTGTCACGTAAGCATTTAAACCCCAGCATTGGTGAATATTTGCCAGTTATTCCTACAGTAGCTCTGAAACCCAAAACTTGACATTCAGGACAGCCCTACTGACGACAGCAAGTAAGGACAAGTTTATACTTATACCTGAGGCCTAATAAACACAAACAACTAGTATTTTGAAATTCATGTGTGTCTGCCTCCGTCCACTCACCGGTTCATGTTCTGTGGATGTGTTAACTTCTTGTCCCTGGCTGTTGCTGTACTGCTCACGTCGTTTTTCCTGTTGGATAATCCGACTGACATCATCTTCCAGCTTATTAAAAAAACGCTCCTCCTGCCCGATTCCTAGTGCTGGGTTAGCTGCTCTGGTGTCCTGGATGGGAAGGTGGTCACTGTTTCAACAGTGTTATGCCACAGTGCTGTATATTTATACAGTACATAGTCCTGCTTACCTCTTTATCTTGTTTTCTACTTAAATGTTCTGCAAAGAGACAAAATACATTGATATAAATACTACTTAAACAACTTTTTGTGAGCAAAATGCATATTTATTTCCTAAAGAAAGTACAGCTACAGATTGTGCTCTTGGAGCCTGATAGGTTATAAGCTGCAGCCCACAACATCCTTGTTTAATGGCTTCTGACACCGATTATTAGGTTTCTCTTACCTACACTGCCTTCAGCCTGGAAATCCTGCAGTGAAACTGTCTTTTTGTCTTTTGCCTGCTGATTCTTCTTTCTGTCCTTCTTCCCACCACTCTCTTTTCCTCCTCGTGACTTTGGTGAGGATGTGTTTGTGTGGTTCTGCTGAGTGAAACCAGAGTATTTGACTTCATCTTATAACTGAGGTTCTTAATTTATAAATAATATGTACTACAACTATAATTAATATTTACTCTAACTACAATGAATAATCACTACAATGAAAAATAAAACTGAATTCAGCTTACATTTCATGCCTGAAATTTATAGTATAAAATTCAATTTGACACTAACAGGACTGAGATACATTTATCATTTTAGCTCTATTCCAGCAAGCTGAATTTGAAATGAAACAGTGGAAACTGGGATACAGTGCTGACTGTCAGTGAAGCGAAGTGAAATCATATCCTTACTGGGTAAATGGTGTACAACAAATTTCACTTTCATAAAGGCTTACTGTGATTCATCTGATGTGGACATAGAAACCTCAGCATTTTAACACCATAGTCATCACTTCATTTCAAATCCAGATCTAGAAATAAACAGTCCTGATACTTGCAAACCGCACCAGCCAGACAAACACAGTTTAACTTTGTTAACAGTAAATATCTGTTCTTCTCTCTGTCTCTCTTCTAAATTTCAGAGCAACTGAAACAGATGGTCCAGAAAGAGCTGCACAAGAGCGGAGAAGTTTTGGTTTTTTTTGCATCATACAGTCAATGTCTAATTTGAATGAGCAGTGGCACCTGCCTAACTGAAGCAAGTGCCGAAATGAGGAAGACAAGATATGCAGTGTTTTTTTCATGACTTTTAAAATATTTGCACATCTAAATGTGTGATAATAATGCCAGAGGCCAACACAACTTGAACAAAGGTGGCAGAGCAGCAGTAGGCGAGCCACTGGGATTCAGCTCTATTTCTGATGATAAATTAATAAGACTAGTGACTTCACTTTTACAAGGAAACCTTGCCATTTTATACATGGGAACACTGGCATGAATGGAGCACCAAATAGCTATGCGACACATTTCTACCTCTGACTTTATCCCCTGTTAATATGCCTTTCAAAAGGAGATACAAGAGTGTGTGTAAGCGATGTACCTGTTTATGCTGTTCATACTCCAGCTTACTTAGAATCAAGGCCTTTTCCAGGTCTGCCTCATATAATTCAGTGGTTATCTAATAAAGAAGGAAAGGAGCAAGAACACATATTTGGGAAACGGTTCCCAATCTGGAAGGTCAGGTATGCCCTGCTGAAATGTAGCTATATCAGGGAAAGAAAATGACTGAATTCCATGCATCACTTCTTTTCTACTATCTGTAACAAACAAGACCTTTGTGCAGCAGGAAAAGGAAAGAGATGACAAGTTTAGTAAATGTATCTGAAATCAATCAATGCATTCTAAGAATATCCTGCTTCTGGCTCATACGGGTTCCAGTACATAATTCCTCTACTGCCAACTTCTGACCAGTGGTGCTGCTTCCAAAAGGGGAAATCAGTGGTATGGTTTTCCAGGAAGTCTCACAAGGTCATGTTTGATATGGGATGGGCTGTTCTCTCTTACCTGTTCATCCCTCTGTTTCCACTGCTGCCATCCCTCTGATGGTATACTGTGGTCCTCTGATGCAGGGCTGAGAAGTTCACTGGCTATATCTGACAGTGCCATACAGGGTGGTGGGGCACACGACTTCTGGGGAATCTTCCTGAAGGCTAGATTACGTAACTAACAGAAGGAAAAATAAGACTTAATCCAAACACTGATTTAATATGACCATTACTGCCAGTATTATGGACATCGCCTTGCTCTACTGTTAGCTGTAGAAACCATCTTGTGTGCATGAACAGTAGGAGCTGGCTTTCAGTTCCAGTGTAAAAATGATTAGAGCTTGAAAAGAGTTTTTTGCTCACAGATGACAATCCACACAGACCACACAAAACATCAGATGGTGCTTTGCTAACTGTACCAGAATAAGACCCAGATCTGGAGAGTGTGGCTGTGGTAACTTTGGCCCTCTTGAGACGGTTCTCTGGCACAAACTACCTGATGACCTGACAACTATGTCCACTATCAAAAGCATGCAAAACTTTTGGTTTTCCTAGTTTAGGATCAAGGACCATGTTTGTCTCTGTGGCTTCTTTTCTCTGTGAATGTATTAATTATGTGGTCAAAATGATTAAAAAAGAAAAATTGTGTTTTACCACGGTCCAAGATGGCATCTTCATAAGAATTTTATTTCCAGACCAACAGTCCAAAACCTAAAGATACCTAGGCCACTTTACAGTGACATAAAAACACAAATTTGAAACCAGAGAATAACTGGTTTTCCTGCCTAAAAATCCTAACTCACAAAATGAATAAATAATCACAATAACAGCAGATTACTTTTCTGTTGCTCAGCTAATCAGCACTGCAGTTTACTGTAGAGCACAATGTAAGTAAAGATGCCTTGCCAAGGACTCATCTGCCTGACAAACGATGCATACATCTCTTCACGTTTTTATAACTGGAAATGCATCCCAGCCAAATGCTTGGACACACCTTCCCATCAAATTCAGTGGGAAAGTGTGTCCAAACATTTAACTGTAGTTGCTTCCTTTTCACTGTTTAATATCATAGAAAGAATCTTAAGACAACATTTTGCGATTTGTGTCATCAGTAAGTAAAAATAACGAAAACTAAACAAAATGCCCTCCGCACTTTCAGTTCAGGTGAAATGAAACGGACGCTACGCATGTAGTTAGCCAAGAAGAGGGTCATGAGATCCTCCTGTCCCAACAACCACTCACCTCATTTGCCTCGCTCTGTTGCTGCTCTTTCTTCTTCTTTTTCTTGTCTTTCTTCTTGTCATTGCCCTGAGCCGCTTTCCCCCCGGCTGCTCCTGCCTTGCCTTGTCGGGGCTTCCCGGAGGAGTCCCGTCCGCTTTTGGTGGTGGTCTTTCCCGGTTCAGAGTTGTCGGAGTCTGAATCCGAGTCTATCTGAAGAAGGGCGAAGCGGGAAGCTGTGGTGGGGACGGTGATCATTGCAGACGATGCCATTGCGAAAATGATACTAACTGATGTCATAATAAAATGAGATAAACAGCAAATCAGTAACGTTAATGTAACTTGAAGCCAGTTACAAAACAACATGCTAGCTTCTGGTGGCATAAATATCACCCTACCTCGACCCACACAGTTTTTAGTTAAGCAGATTGTTGTACAAGTGTGTCTTATTAAAACAAATTAACAGCGTTGCTAAAGTGTTTTGAACCAAAGCATACCATTGCTAACAATCTGACATGAGCCCTTAGCGCTACATAGCAGCAAGTTAACCTAGCTAACTATACAACGCTTAGTCGGTTTGGTTAGCTTCTAAACAAGTGCAAAAGTAGTGACGCATGACAGTGAAAAACACAACAATGGATTCGCGTTGAGCTAATCTTTTTAATACATTCAATGACTTGTGCTGAAAACGCAGAACTCACAAGAAAAGTTGCTAACGAGTACTTTCACCTGTTTGCGAGAGGACTGTCGACTGAGTCCGTTGGTTTGCTACCAGCGATTGTCTAAGTACGGTAGACCGGTGGTGCCAAAAAGGTTAAAGCCCAGATTTGACTGCCTCAATCAGAGTACAGCTAAGTATCTATTATCATATAGCGTTTAAAATCCAGACCTGCTGACCTAGAATTTGCTTAGTCATACCACAGATGTCTGTCAATACATCTGGCCTACAGTGGTGGAAGATATTTAAAAAAAAAAGATCTTTGATCCTTTCCTAAAATGATCAATGCCGTAATGTAGTAATACAAGTAGACTGAAAGTCATTCAAATTCCTATATAAGAAAAAGTACAAGTATTATTAGCAAAATGTACTCAAAGTATCAAAATTAAAGGCATACATTACACAGAAAATGTAACTGATCTATGTGACAAACACATTAGGTCTGATATGTCCGGTGTTGGAGTGTCAATACCTACACTGGAATGAATGCATAGTGGGAAAAGTAAGACTACTGTCCCTGCTCTGTTATTATTAGGAGAATAGGTGTAGATGCACCTGAGGGGTTTTAGCCTATAGAATAGAGGGATGTGTAGATTACACAAATGGGGTTCATTACACAGAAAAGTGCTTAGATAAAGCAGCAAAAAAGGAAGAATGATCTATGAACACCTAGAATGTGGGCTAACTTAGACGTGTGACAAAGTTGTGACAGAATACTGCAGTGAAGAGGTTGAAATAAATAAGCAAAACATTTATAAAGTTATTTACTGCTAACACTTTAATGTTTAGGTCTTGCATAATAGTTATTAGGGGTTGTCCCACATAAAATGAGTGTGTGAGTGAGAAGATAAAATAGCAGCAGCGGTGACTCATTTAACGTTTATGCATTCTATAGGGTTGCGTTGGGGGGATTGGGGTCGGTCATAAGGCTCTACCTCCTCGGCCAAGGACACCTCCCCCACATGTGACATATGTCTTATGTGGCTGACAACACCACTTAGATAGTGTACAAAGCATTAAAGCTGAATGCCTTTACACATACTGAGAGACCTGTGGTAGCATGTCTAAGAGATATTGTAGCTATGTTTCAACCAAGCACTCGTGTTGCTCATGCTGTTCATTCTCATCCTTCAAGAGAAACTGCACACATTTACCCCCAGACCATGGCTCCATGGTTTAATCTGACCATAGCTTGGGGGTGAGGGGATGGAAGGAGCCCAAACAATAAAAGCAAAACAGTTTAATTTGCATTTTAGTAAGTTTATTACAAGCATATAATAAAAATTCCCTATAAAAAAATTAATTTACACAGCAATAAACATACAGTATAGTGCAAACAGAAAAAAACTATCAAAATAATTAAAAACACTACCCAGCTTTGTATTACTGCTGTAGCGCAGCAAATATACTGCATCTGCAGGTGATTTTAAGTGCTAATCAGTGCTAAAAATGAAAAGTTAAAAACAAGAGTCCTCTTCACAAGAGAATATTTGATTAACAAAAGGTTGATGAGCATGTTTTCCCAAACTTATTGTATCTGTTAAATGAATAGACTTTATAAAAGTGGTAGAATCAATCTAGTAGATGGAGTTGGTGATAAGTGTAAAACCTACTACTGTATATTATGACAACAGAAATAGTATCAAAAAAGTGCTGCTTTTTGCATTAAATCTTTTTTGCTTCTTCATGACAAACATTTCCTTTGTTTACCACCACCAAGCTGGAATCTGCTGTACACATTACTTCTATAACGCATAGGTATTATGATGTATGTAAAGCTACTGAATAGCTCTGCAAATGAGGGAACATCATCTGTCATGGTTTCTGTGCACTTCTATGGAGTCCTCCAGTATTGACTCTGTGCTGGTATCTACAGCTGACTGTCGCCTCCTTGTGGCAGAACCAGAGACCTGCAGATCAGCTGGAGAGATCTGTCTCAGCTCTCTTCGGCACAAACGGACTGGTGTCATTTCTAAATTCTCCCCACAGTGACCAGCCCCTCTGTCACTCCTCCCCTGAGACTGTGTGTGGATCTGTCTGTATTCAGGCAATTTTGTCTTACTGTGTGCATTTTGGGGCTCAGATGAGGAGGGACGGAGTGTTTGGTGCGCCTGCCTCTCCGTGTGAGAATTGTTCTTTTGGTCTGGTTGCTCATCATATATCTTTGTGTATGTTGGTGCAATTTGTGTCTTTGTCTGTACCTCTTCAGTGTGCATCTGGGGTTTGTATCCGCTTGCGTGTATCTGCATATTGTGTGGTTGCCTGTGGTCCTGTGTGTGTGAAGGCTCATCGTCAGGGTGTAGGGCACCACAAAGAAGCTCCTTGAGTTTCTTTTTGAGCTGCCGGGTGGAGCTTTTGTAGAAAAATAGCTCTTTCTCCAGATGCTGCAGTCTGTCTTGAATAGCCTGCTGTACTTCTCCTGAACCACCTTCTAAACACTCACATGCACACATAAGCACATGCACACAAGGAAACAAAAATAAACAATATTCATGAAACAATTTCTGTACAAATAATGCAAATATGAACTGAAAAAATTCATGTTCAAACATTTTGTCCATGCTGCCCTAATTTCCTCACCTTGAATTTTCTGCAGCAGTAACTGGATGTTGTTCTGGTGATCTCGGTGCTGCTGGGTGAGCCTGCGGTCCGCATCCAGGGCCAGGCGCTGCATGGCGACCTCCATCTCCCTCAGCACCACTTCTTGCTCTCCAGCATGAAGCTCCAGCTCGTTACAGCGCAAACGCAAATGGCGCTCCACCTCACGAAGACAAACAACCTGAAAAGGATGATAAAGGTGGGAGGGAGCCAGAAAATAGTGCAGAGAAATGCAAATTATTACACAATTAGGTGAATCTTGTACTTTAGTTCACTCTCACACCTGCAGAGAAAAGGAAAGTGGACAGAGAGAAACAGGTTAGAACTATTATAAAGTATGCCGATGACTCAGTTATTGTTAGTCTCCTCAGTGATGGTGAAAGTAGCCATGGTTCAATCATTGAGGATTTTGTCCATTGGTGTGAGGAATCCTATCTGCAACTAAATACAACAAAAACTAAAGATATGCTCATAGATTTTAGGAGGAAACCTCATAGGCACGAAGTCACTTTAATTAAGGGGCAGACTATTGATTATGTGCAAACATACAAATATCTGGGGACGATCACTGACAGCAAATTGAGTTTTGAGAAGAACTGTGAAATGGTGTGTAAAAAGGGTCAGCATGTAAAACGCAGTGGTACAGAAAGTTTTGTCCCTGCTGCTGTTATAGAGTTACAGTGGTGTGAAAAAGTGTTTGCCCCCTTACTGATTTCTTATCTTTTTGCATGTTTGTCACACTGTAATGTTTCAGATCGTCAAACAAATTTATATATTAGTCAAAGATAACACAAGTAAACACATCATGCAGTTTTTAAATGAAGGTTTTTATTATTAAGGGAAAACAAAATCCAAAACTATAGAGCCCTGTGTGAACAAGTGTTTGCCCCCCTGTCAAAACACTGGTTTATCGCACCTGAGTTCAATTTCTCTTGCCACACCTGTTCGCAATCAAGAAATCACTTAAATAGGACCTGCCTGACAAAGTGAAGTAGACCAAAAGATCCTCAAAAGCTAGACATCATGCCGAGATCCAAAGAAATTCAAAAACAAATGAGAAAGAGAATAATGGAGCTCTATCAGTCCGGAAAAGGTTATAAAGCCATTTCTAAAGCTTGGGGACTGCAGCTGACTGCAAGACAAATTTACCTACGGGTATAAATAAAGTAACCTAACCTAACCTAACCTAACCTAACCCTAGGTTGGAAGGAATTCATCATGATGCAATAGTGTGGCATGGTGCAACAAAAGACCAAGAGCATGTGAGTAAGAAGAAGCACAAGTGAGCAGGGAGTGGAAGTGGGGGGATTTTGGACAGAGTGCAGAGTGGCTCTTTTAAAAAGGAGGGAGTGTCGGCTTGTGTCCTGCTCCAATTTCGCTGCAGTACCGCTCACACCGCCTGAAGTGTGTCAAAGGCCATCCATGGATGCATCTGTCTTACACAGTCATCCAACATTTTTCAGTCAAAAACAGCCGGTGTGAGCTTAATAATGGAGCTCCTAAATTACTTTAAAAAAAACTGAATGGTCATACAGATATAGTGCATATTTTTATTTAATTAGGCCTACTGACTTGTTGAAATTTACATGTGATTTTTTGTGTTATATTTCTTATTACATAGGCCTAACTGTAATTTTAAATAAATAATTTCTATTTGGAAAAAGTAGTTGTTCTTTAATTCTTTGGGATGTAAGGCTATGGTTTAAGTTGAAAGTGAAATATATGCAATTTTTTTCTCTTTTTTGGAGTGAGTGCGTGCAGTTTGAGTGGAGTAGAATGTGAGTTGAGTGCTGAGTGATAATGAGCGGAGTGGCCTGATGCAGCTTTGAGAAGGGGAGCGGAGCGGGCGAACAACTCTGTGAGCAAAGAGCGGAAATTCTCACCACTCCACTCATATGCTCTGACACTGATATAGTTTATAGTGGTATTGGATGGATAGATGTAGAGCATAAAAGGTCACGTTAGGGGAACGCAAAGAGGGTGGAGGGATTACAAAAACAGTACTGTATCGCTGTCTCATCTTCCACTCAAGCACATCACCTGGAGAGAGAGGAATGGGATGGTAAGTAACAGAAGAAGAGAAAAAGAAAAACATAAACGTCCAGTTGGAACTGAAAAAGAAATATGTTTCTATACACGTTTTCATACCTTGTTGAAATATTTGATGAGGAGCTCTGAAGCCTCAGGTGGTGAGAGTTCCTTCAGCTTGCTGAAGACATTGGTGCTTTGTGAGTGACTTGGAGGGGAGTCTGTGGTTAACAGCCTCTTTTGTTTGTCCTGGATGGAGAGGTTTTTAAACTCCAGAGCTGCATCCAGAGCTTCAATAGCTTCTTCCAGCTGGAGCAAGGAATTCTCCTCCTACACAGAGGCACACACACAAATTGCCAAAAAGAAAAAGGTATAAATCATATCAAATGTCAGTTTTATTGCAGTACGACCCACTGGTTGCTTCTATCTGACCTCCACATTTAGCACTCTGTTTTCCTTTAGCTGTGCATCCAGAGTGTCTCTCCTCTTTTTAAGCGTGTCTCTCTCCTTCTCCAGTTCCTCTGTGGTGACTCCTCCAGCCCACCTTGCAATGGCACTGCTCTGTAGCTGTTCCTCCACAGATTCCAATTGCATTGACACTTGCAACAGGTCCTGACTCAGAGCCTGAAAAGTCATTGATAAAAACTTTCTGGATTCCAACTAATATGTGTTGATTTAAACCACTGCTAAGCAGCTCTTGTCACAATAATTGCTAAATCATAAAAAAAACTTAACACAAAAATCAGGCAGGGGAACACATGTACAGGCCAACCTGACTGGAGCGCAGCATCTTGATCTCCAGTTTGTTTTTCTGTTGCAGACAGGCCTCCCTGCGTAGGAGCACCTCCTCTCTCCTCCTCAGCTCCTCTTCCAGCTCCTGCAGCTCTGCTCTCTTCTGAAGTATCTGCTCCTCCTCTTCCTCCAGCCAGCCGCTGTCGCCCAGCTGCAGCAGGACAAGCAAGGAGTGTGAGGAGGGAAGGGGTAAAGGAAGAGGGAGTTTACATGAAGATTAAGAAGATATGAAGACAATAACACACAGAATGACAAAAGAAAGAAACAAGCTTTTTGAGGAACTGATATTGCTTTTAGATTTAACAGTGTTTACCTTTTCCTCTGACTCGTCCTGGTGACTGTTTTTGCATAGAGTTAAACCTCCTGCCCTTTGCTCCTTTAAACAAAAACATAGGCATTTTTAAAATCAAAATTATATTTAAACCTCGGTCAAAGTAGTTAAATAAGTGTATACACTACTGCTTCCCAATAAAGTTTACTAGTTTAACCTGTGGGATGTAAGAAAGAATCAAATATCTATCAAAATGACCATGTGTTAACCCTTGGGAACTGACTAAAATTGGAACCTGAAACAAAAATACTGTGGATCAACAGAACTGATATACAGATGACTGACACATGACTAAACTTGTTTATCTGAATATCATATTTGATGTTACCCGGTTCACACAGCTAACCCCATTTCGGTCAGGCTCTGTCTTGCTGTCACTGGTCTGCTGCTTGAGGCTGGTCTGAAGCTGTGCTTTCTGCAGTCTCATGTGCTGCAGGCTGCGGTAAACCTCTGTGCGAACCTGCTGGCTCTGCATGGCAAGTCTTGCCAACACACCGGCTTCACTGCCACTGTGGGTATCATGTCTGTTCACTGCCTGGGTCTCCTTGTCTGTCAGACAAAAAACACACACTTCCAGATGCAAATACTGTACAAAATCAGATATAACATATATAAACACATTTTCTGAGGTTCGAAACTATTTCATTGCACTGTACAGTTGTTGCCTGGAGCTTCAGTACAAAAGCACCGTTGAAATAAGGTAAATAAGAATTAGAATTTGAAGAGATTTCATTTCATTTTCTCACTTTCTGCACCTTTACCAAGATCTAGGTTCAGAGGGAGGCATCTAACTGCAAATAAAACCTGAGACCCCTTCATTTTTTTCATACTGTTTTCTGCAAACACCACTCAGAATGCAGGCAACCATGGTCTACCATCTGATTATCAGGCCATGATTTTGTGCATCACTGACAAATCATCACATACCAACGTTGCACATACTGTACCTTAGCCCCAAACTTGTTCCTAACAATAAAAAAAATGACATAAAAATGTTTTAGCAATTTAGCAAACCAGTTCTCAGCTGAAGCATGAAGCATGTATTACTGTCTAATACAGTAAAAAAAAACACTTTGCATTTGTCTCTGTCACTGTGTCACACTTGAATTTCTAATTTCACTCAACAGAAGTCTGTGGAAGCTGCAGGGATGTTTTGCCAAACTCTGGCTGACATAAAACCCCTAACACTGCTCTGATACACGAAGAACCAATGAGTTCCATTGTTCTTGACTCACTAGATCCTGCTGAGTACAACTACAAACCAACAGACACAGGAGCCCAGGAGTTCACAGTATGCAGTTATTTGAACACACCAGTTTTGTCAAGCTCTTTGATGAGCTCCTCTTTCAAGCGCATGTTGACTGACAGTTCGTGGAGCCTTCTCTGAATAACACTGGATCTTAGTCCCACCTTCCTCATATGACTTTGCTTGGCATGGTTTTCCTTTGTCCCTAAGAAGAAATAGCAAATGACAATATGAAAATGAAATGACTTATTTTACATCCAAGAATAACTGTTTGGAAAAAAGCATCTATCAATACAAAAGGACAAGGAAACAACAGACTGCTAAGTTAAGTTAAATATGTGTGAAGTATACCTGTGGTTTGCTCAGGCTGTTGTACTGATGGATGTCCTTTAGATGTTTGGTCTAGTGTTGTGTTTTTCTCTTTCAGAGCTGATTTCTTCTGCCGGCTGGTCCATGTTCGGTTTAAAAACCGCCTGGAGCAACGTTACAATATTTTTATTGGGTTGATCATTTCACATAATAATTTCCCTGCTTAAGAAAGGCAGATATTCTGAATGAAAGATTATCAATACGTGTGAAACTTAGGTCAAACTATTTTGTATTTTTGTGGCGCACAACACACCTGTGGTGCACTTAGAAAATGGCACTAAAGGTGAAAACTTTTTACAGTGAAAGTTAGAGCCTAGTCTTACTCATAGCCAATTACATCAGCTACATCTTGAACAGCAGTGTGCTCCCTGCTATGGGTCCACAATGTCATATCTTGTATATGCCCAAGCATTTGCACTGCATAAATGAGGAGGCTGTGAGGAAAACCAAGTTATTTTTGACCAGTTCACGGCACACAGGAGCACAGATACTGCTGTGATTATTCTGAAACAATTATTATGAAAGGTCACTGCTATATGAAGCAGCAGCAGGTGAGACAATTTTGAAAAAGTTTACTTTTCATTTGACCTTAATTAACCTTTGAATCACTGCTTTTTGTGAAACTATTTTGTTTGCAGAATGATAAATACACAGTGTCTCAAAAGTTATTAGTTAAAATTGTATTTCTAGTAGTGAATCACTGGTGACGTGACAAAGAACAAAATGGTAAGCTTGTATTATACAGACTCTCACCTAAATCCTGTTCTGCCCACAGTGTCGTCATCCCCCTCATTCTCTTGATCTCTGTCTTTGCTCTCTGCCTGTTGTTTTAAGAAGGGACAGTACACCTCATCCTTTTCCTCAATCTCAGCCAGCAGCAGATGACCACGCATCCTAAAGGCTGCCATCACCCTCTCCAGTGAATAGGCTGGAGGACTGGAATGAATCTACAAACATGCATGCATTTGGACAGAAATACACACAGCTATGCACAACAGAGTGTGTGGTTCCTCATATAAATGTATGCACCAAAGTCATAATTCCAGCTGGTGCAACAGATAAACACACAATTATACGCACAATACAGAACAAAGCAGTGCAACTACCTACCTTCCTGGGAGGCCCGTGGCCACAGCTGTGTCTGGTCAGAGGGACGCTAAAAGGCCTCTTGGCTGAGCTCCCAGAAGCCCCTGTGTCCACCGCTGCCCTTGAGGTTGCACCCTGAAAGGTCATGAGGTCACTGCGAAGATGATCAATCAGAATCTGCTGGTCCACCAGTTGTTCATTCTAAAAACATTCACACACAAATGTGCAGACGGACAGGCACTGTCAAATTCTAAGACAGTTTAGAATTTTTATTTGCAGATAAGCTACAATAATGGATGCTGTCTCCTTTTCTACTGTACTAGAGAACTGCATGTTCTTCTCCTCACCTGTATACGGGTACGCTCTTTTTCTTTCTCTAAGGCTTGGAGGTGCATTTTGCTCTCTTGAAGAAGTTTGTCAACTTTTTCTTGCACCTGTCTCAGTTCTGCATTTTTCTGCTCCAAAAGACAGTTCTCTATCTTGAGAGCTTCCTAGAAAAATAGAAAAAAATGTTTACTTTTTTTATGTCAACTTTGTAATACATTTATTGTTATGGTTGCTCTAGTTTTTCGCTGTCTCGTGCTTTTGTTTTGGCCCTTTTCCTCATCTCACTCTGCCCGTTCTCGCTTCACTCGGTTGTAATCATCGCTCATTGTCCTCAACTGCCCCTTGTCAATCTCCCTTGGTTGTTCACGTTACATATAGTCCTCCTCTCAACCTGATCCTGTTGCCAAGCTACGCAGAATCCGTCCCACACCTGGCTGCCAGCAACGCTGAGAGCATTAACCTGCCAGCATCTCCTCGTAAGCTCCTCTCGGTATCTGTCTTCTCCTGCCTACTCACGTGTACGCCCCGGTCCTCGGATCCTCCGGTTGTCTGTCACCCAGTCTCTCCTGCATACCACAATCCTCTGGAACCTCGGCTTCCTGCTCAGCCCCTGTCCCTCCTCTCTTCTCTATGCATACCAGTGTTCTTGTTTAATAAACTCCTTTTGTGTTCCAGACCAGTGAAGTCTGCATTCTTGGGTCCTACCTCACACATTCACCCCTTAACATTCATGGCATGTCAGCTAGCACTTTGTTATGGGCAATGTCACTGCACTGTTGAAATAGAGCCCTAAGTGTTGTGGGGTGTTTATCCCCCTATAATGCATAATTTAAAGATATCCAGACATCTTTTACTCTGAAGGAAAACAAACCTACAGTGGGTAAAGCCTTTTCCCAGATATTTTTTCTGAATGTCTAATGTAGATTATTCAACAGCTCCCACTAACAATAAATATATATATATATATCATACAATAATATTTGTGACCTTTAATGGTGATTATATATGTTTCTTTTTTCTTATCATTACCTGGGATTTGTTGAGTTCTTGTCTGAGCTTTAATATGAGTTGGTTTCCATCCCCTTCTGAACAGTCACCATCATCAATTTCATGCGAGCTATTGGCAGCTGTCAATTTGTCCTGCCAATCCTGCAGTCGCTGCTTGACAGACAGACTTGGAGAGAGGCCAGAGATATCTGCAAGCAGAGCTGCAGCTTCCTGTGCGAGGAGGCGGTACTGTGATGGTTCCCCTTGGCTCACCTTATCTGGCTCAGATACCCTCATCTGACTGGACTGCTTGAAGCTGTCCTCTTCTCCAGCTCTTCCTCTTGTCCTCTCCTTTTCCATCTCCATCTCTTTTTCCTTGTCTTTCAGTAACTCTCTAAGTGTCTGTACTTCATGCTCCAGCTCCCCTAGTCGAGCCTCGCCAGGGTCCCAAATAGTAGAACCTGATTTAACCTCTGTATGGGTAGATACGGTCCTAGGACGGTTACAAATGTGGCGAGCCTTGGATGCAAACTGCAGGACACTCAGAGTTTCAGCTACACTGTGGAGGGAGGGGCTGACACACGCCACCATCAGCGTATGGGCGGTACCTCCCAGCGAATCACGGAGGAGACGGGTGATCTTGGCATCACGATAAGGTATGTGCGCACTGCTGCAGGTGTTACCACGGCGATTTTGTGCAGGGTCAGAGAGAGCACGGATAACATTGCCCAGCGCTAATAGGCCTGTGTTGATATGAACAGACTCTTTGAGTCGTGTCCCAGTGTTGCCAGTTTTTCCAGCACGCTCTGAGCCTGCTAGATCAACCAGACAGAGTTTGGAGGAGTGGACGGACTTGTTATTTTGACAACATTGGATGAGCTGTAGGGTGAGGATGGCGTGAGAGCGACTGGAATGCTCGTTCATCCCCGTGGTGCCGGTGTGGCGTAGGGCATTGCCTGTTTCTAAAATGCTGAGTAGCTCCTCTGCTGAGGTGACAACGATCTCTTTGGCTCCCACCACCACTGAAAACACACATAGCCACACAGAAGTATAGGATCCAGTGTATTTGGAACTTAATATAGACTAAAAGCCAAAATGTGTTGGCCTCTGATGAGTCTGTTTCTTGCAAGTGCCCCTGAGTTGTTAGAGAACACTTTTAAAACCCTCACTACATCACTAATCAAGAAAAGTGTGACAATGGCATGAATGGGCACAAATTGAACACAGGCTTGTGTTAACAAACAGCAGAGGAAAAGTAGGGACAAAATCCACAAAGGTACCAACCACAAGGCACTATCATTTCAATTGTAAAGGTTAAAATTAGTCAAATCTACTGGGAACTATGTCTTACAGGGGTATGTCCTTTTATTTGGGAAATAATACAAGTTTATTCCATCATATGATAGTTATGTGAAAAAAATATAAAAAAATAAACATATTTTGTCACATTTGCTTGCTAGTCAAAAGGACTTTATTACCAGTGTTTCCCCTCTCATCCTCTCTGATATGAAGCTCTTTCTGAATGGTGTGCAGCTCTAGCAGGTCCCGGAGTTCTTCCCTGTACAGCTCCAGATATGAGAGGCGCACTGTAGCCTCCAAACCATCACTATTCTTCCTCTTTCCCCCCAGCAACAAGAACACATCCTGGGCCACACGGTCAATAATTCCTCCATCTTCATCTGAGAGAGGTTTTGGAAGAAAGAGTTATAAAGTACATATGGCAAAGACCAGAAAGTAAAACATCAGAAAACGACCTTTGGCTCAAGTTCCCAGCACGTGTGTAAAATACATCAATGGGGCAACAGCAAATTACTGGTCAGAAAAGCTTGCTTCCACCTTGAGATTGCCACTTAAATTACTTTAACACTAGCCCTAAACACAAGCCTCAAATCTCCCAAACCCACATTTACACACTCTGCTTCTCGCTCCAAATCCAAATCTACACAGATCACTCTGAACACAGAGTAAAGATGCTCTGATACACCCATTTTTCCCATCCTGAACCATCTGGCTTCAATAATGCAGCTCCCATGTCTCATTTCACTCAGTTGTTTCCTAAACCCCACCTCTGGATCTTTGTAAGCTCATTTTGCGGGATGGACACTGACACCTGTGCTTTGTACAACTTACCCAGGTTCCCCCCTCCGAGTGTGTATGTCTTTCCTGACCCGGTTTGTCCATAACAGAAAACAGTGGCATTGTAGCCGTCGACCAGGGACTCCACCAGAGGCTGGACGCACGACTCATACACGTCGTCTTGGCTGTCTGTCGGTCCAAAGGCGTGGTCGAAGGAGAATACTCTGTCCAAACCCAGCAATACTTGTGCGGAGCCCGGCACCACCCGAACACACACCTGGTGGTTGTGGAGGACCTCCTTGGGAAGCAAAGGGCGGATGCGGACCGCTACCCGGACACACACCTCGCTCATGGCTGTTAATGTAGCTAGTTACTCAGAATGACTAACGTTAACTAAGTTAACGCAAAGGTAGTTTCATCCCAGCGTCTCACAGCCGAACTGTACAACTTTTTATGTGAGTTCTTAAAACTGTTGGAAATAAACACGTGGCAATGATCTGCATTTCTCGAACACAAACCGTATTTGTGCGTTTATTACCTAATTTGGCGATTTGTTGTTGTTGTTAACTTGGCCCGTGGAAGTAGCTCCCGTTTGTTGTCGCTACCCGGTTGCCCGGGAAACCGCCGCTGTAGTCGAGGAAAGCATGAGATGCGCTAAAGAGTCTTCATGGAGATCGGACCGAGTGGTAAGTGAAAGCAACAGCGCCATCTGCTGAGTGTGTTTGTCACTGCCTTTTTCAAAGGTTCACGATTTTTTTAAGTCAGCCTTTCAGAACACATTTAATGTTGCAGCTGGTGGCCTAAAGGTGGAGCTCATTTTAACTACCTTATATGCTTATAATTTGAAGTACTGCTGGGCATTTTCTGAATTTCTCACCAGGGATCAATAAAGTTAGATGATTACACTGTATTTTGTATAGATAATCTGATTCTGACAAGTAGCTAAGTAATAACAAACATTATCAAATAAATGTAGTGGGGTAAGGAGTACAATATTTGCCTGTAAAATGTAGTGAAGTCAAAGTATGAAGTATCAGAAAATCAGAATCAGAATCAGCTTTATTGGCCAGGTGTGACAGACACACAAGGAATTTGACTCTGGTATGTCGGCTCTCAATGTGCAAAACAGAAAACCAGCATAAGGCTGAGTAATATAACAAAATAGCAGTATTAACATCAACAAACAGTGCAAACAATGCAGAAAAAGCAGTATAAACAGAGAGTAAACAATGCAGACAACAAAGGAATGTTTATTGAAATGAGATAAATAGGGATAAAACAGAATACTTAAGAACTAGTCTCTATAATCTGTACGAGGTATATTTACAGGTATTGCACTGAGGGTTATTGTCCAATCATACTGTCGTGGGTTAAATGTTCATCAAAGCGACAGCTTGGGGCAAGAAACTGTCCCTGTGCCTGGTTGTCTTGGTGCACAGTGACCTGTAAGGCCGTCCAGAGGGGAGGAGTTCAAACAGATTGTGTCCAGGATGTGAGGGGTCTGCAGTGATCCTCTCTGCCCTCCTTTTGACCCGTGCGGTGTACAGGTCCTCCATGGAGGGCAGGCTCACACCCATGACCTTTTCTGCAGTCCTGACTGTCCGCTGAAGTCTGTACTTGTCCCGTTGATACAGTCCTGCCAAGTATGGCAAGGGGGGGTAAGATGGGGGGGCTCTTCCTGAAGTCCGCTGTCATCTCCACTGTTTTGAGCGTATTCAGCTCCAGGCTGCTGCGGCTACACCATAGGACCAGCTGCTCAACCTCCCGTCTGTAGGCTGACTTGTCACTGTCTCAGATGAGACCAATGACCGTTTTATCATCAGCAAACTTTAGGAGCTTGACAGAGGGGTCCTTCAAGATGCAGTCGTTGGTGTAGAGTGAAAACAGCAGAGGGGAGAGCACACATCCCTGGGGGGCACTTGTGCTTATTGTCCGGGTGTTGGATGTGGTTTTCCCCAGCCTCACCTGCTGCTTCCTGTCTGTCAGAAAGCTAGTAATCCACTGACAGGTGGGGGCAGGGACAGTGAGCTGGGTCAGTTTGGAGTGGAGGATGTCTGGGAAGATGGTATTGAATGCTCAGCTGACGTCCACAAAGAGGGCCCGTGCGTACAGGGCCAGCTGATCCGCACACACTTTCAGGCAGGAAGGGGTCACACCATGGGCCTGGAGCCTTTCTGATCTTTTGTCTTTTAAAGAGGCCACACATATCCTTTTCACAGATTGTTAGAGGTGGGGGGCTGGAGGGAAGGGTGGTGATTGTTGGGGGAGCAGCTGCTGGGTCTGAGGTATGAAACTACTGGTGGCAACTATGGTTCAGTGGGTAGGGCAGTCGCCTCCCAACCGAAAGGTTGAAGGTTCAAATCTTGGTACCTGCAATCCACATGTCAACGTGTCCTTAGGCAAGACAGTGAACCCCCAAGTTGCCCCCAATGATTAAAGCCATCGGTGCGAGTTGATGCTGCAAATGGCCTCCTTGGTTCTGTACTGGAAACAAATTTTTTTGTGTGTAACATACTTGGCCAAATAAATGTGATTATCTTATTATGTAAAGTACCTAAAAATGGTAATTAAGTACAGTACTTACAGTAAATGCACTTAGTTACTTTCAACCACTGGCAAATGATCAGCCATATGAACACTGAAGCAACCCTATCCTTAATGCCTTCTGTTAATACTAGCCATAGAGACAGAGTTGTTTTAATGTATTTATTCATTTAACTTTTTATTACATGACTATCATTTTGGGTGGTATGGTAGCACAGTGGTTAGCGCTGTGGCTTCACAGTGAGAAAGTTCTGGGTTTAAGCCCTGGCTGATCCGGTGCCTTTCTGTGTAGAGTTTGCATGTTCCCCCCCGTGCCTGCATAGGTTCTCTCCGGGTAGTATAGGCCTTTCTGTCTTTCTGTTCACATGTAGTGTATGATCACTTGCTTTCC